TCAAATAATTTGCCCACTTTTTAATAGTTTGTCTTATTTTTATTACATTATAAGAGTTACTTTATGATGTATTCTGGATACTGAACCCTTATCAAATTGCAAATACTTGCTCCCATTCTGTGGGGTGTCTTTTTGCTTCCTTGATGGTGCTGTTTAAAGAACAAAACTTGTACATTTTTATAAAATCCAATTTATCCACTTTTTAATTTTTAAAAATATTTTCAACACTTCTGTACATTTAAAACTACTTTCAAATTTAAAAAAACTATGCATAAAACTTTATGTAAAAAGTTTAGAAAGCTATGCATTAAACTACCAACAGGAAATAGAAATGAAATTTTCATTTGCTATTCAACACAAATTTGTTTTCCTTTTTCTGATTAAACAAGTGATGCAAATTCTCTGAGGAAATTTTGGAAGTTAACATCTTTTTTTTTTTAATATATTTTATTGATTTTTTACAGAGAGGAAGGGAGAGGGATAGAGAGTTAGAAACATTGATCAGCTGCCTCCTGCACATTCCCCACTGGGGATGTGCCCACAACCAAGGTACATGCCCTTGACCAGAATCGAACCTGGGACCCTTGAGTCCGCAGGCCGACGCCCTATCCACTGAGCCAAACCGGTTAGGGCTGGAAGTTAACATCTTAAGTAAAGTCACCACCCAGAGATAACCATCATTGTAATTCAGATTTATAGTCTTAAAGGAATAAATAAGCATTTATAAAAATTTAGGGTCATTTGTTCTATGAGGGCACAGCCAGGTAAACAAAGTGGCCATGGATGACCAACAGGAACTTGTGTTGCACGGAAACGAGGAGCCATTGGGGGCGGGGAGGCGCTTAACCAGGCTTTGCAAGTGAGTGATGGCTCTGCTTTGGGGGAAGGAAAGAGAGGGCTTTGCAGCCGGGGCGGCCGGGAGTGAAGGAATGCGACAGGGCAGGGATGGAACCCGCTGACAGTAAGCCAGGCGGGACGGTACTGGTTCTGAGGGGCCTGGTGACAGTGGACGCATGTGATCCTTGTAGAACACAGGGCACCTTGCAGAGTGTTAGGCAAGGACGCGTCAAGATAAGACTTACATTGGAGAGGCAGTTCATCAAGTTGTGTGTAGAGAGAGGAATGAGAATGGACGCCAGTGACTTGTCTGGGGACCATGGAAATGTCTGTGATGCATTTTATATTCTGAGTGCGCACACGCAGTGTCCACAAGTCCTGCTTGGCCAGAGACAGGCTCGGATGACACCTCTGTCCTAATTATACTGCACCTCGTCTGTCTCAAAGGTGTCTCAGTTTGGAGGGTAAATATCTATACACGCACAACAAAATTTCCACAATCCTTACAAAGTGAGACGCACTGATACTTTGTATTCTATTTTATTGTTTTTCTGCTGATTGCAACCCGTTAAACTTATTTTGTGGCACACGAATTGTTCCTCACCCAGTTTCAAACGCTCGGTCCTGGGTGCCTGCAGGTCTCGGGAAAGGGAAAGGATGTGCGCGGTGTGAGGCCGCGTCAAAACCGCCGCGCAGACCTGGGAGCGCACACCGCAGCCCCGCTGCGCCCGCGGCCGTGCTCTGTGT